ATTGAGTAGACCTATTTTTCATCGGTCAGATCGGTTCGCTTTTGGCTATTCGCCTCAGCTCTTAGGAATTATTTCCTTATTTTAATTTTCTTGTCTTTCCTCTTTTTATTTGTTTGTTCTTTAAAAAAACCCATTTATTTCTGTTGAGGGGGAGTCTACCGATTACCTCAGGCCTTCGGGCTATTCCCCGCCCCTCGAACATCCCCTCTTCTTCGCTTTCTTTTATGGAGAATAAGTGGGTTTTTTTTTCAATAGGTGCAAGGGTTGCGGCAGCAAACTTGCTCCTCCCGACCCTGTGCATTTTTTGTCTCGGAGAGTCTCACTGGCCAGAGTCCTCTCGTCACTGTGCTCGTTTTTCTAATCAAACACGGAAAAAACGAGCTGTGCGCCTTAAAGTGGCGTTCCTGTGCATGCCCGAGGGACTGGGCGCAAAAATCCATTAAAAGAGCTTGCTACAGCACCGATCGATCCAGCGCGTGCGCACGAGATCCCATGGGTGTGAAGCACAGAGACCACGTCGAAGATCTTCCGTTTCTCCTGCTGTGACACGAAATTATTGGCGGAAGTCAAAAGCTAGCAATGAACTGCAGGGCGAGGGGGGCTCAAGTCTCCTTCCCACGCGGAGGAAGCAGGAGAAGAGACAGAGGACCCCCCGTCTTTTCTGACTCGACTGTCCAGTTACGAGAAGACAGCAGAGCTGGGCACTTACTTGTCCAGGTCAATGTCCAGCGCTTTGTAGGGGTCGTTGGGGTCTTTGTCGTCGTCGTCACTGGGCAGAGCATTCTGGAACCACAAGGGGCAGAAGAGCCATGTCAAGGGGGGGGGCGGAGAGGGGTCAATGCCGAAACTAAACGGGCAGCCAGGCCACACATCTTATCCAACCCCCAGCCCTGCAAGAACTTCTCAGATTAAAAAAAACAAAAAACCTGGGAAGATTGAAACGGACAGGCCATATCTTTTCCACGCCTTAAATCAAGTGCTGGTGGCGGCAGCAGCTCCGCCTTTCTAGGTGGCCGGGAGGGTTTGGTGAAGGAGACAGAACGAGCAACCAACCAAGGCTGAACACTCTCCCCCGGTGCCGGTCTGGCAATTCTAGACGTTCTCCTGATGCCACAGAGCAGTTCTTTTGGTTGCTGGCTCAGCTGGGAGGTCGCATTAGGAGTTTGGATCCTGCACATCTGGTTTAATGAGCAGCGGCAGCAGCAGCTAGCACTTCCCTCCTGTACAAGGAGCCTTCCCCTGACTGTGAGCTGCTCTCGCATTAGAGGGAAGTCTCCTTGGGCTGGATCAAAGCTCAAAACGCCAGACGAATGAACTTCCCTCCCCACCCCCTCGGAAGCCTGAAGGATGCCTCGCGGGTCCAGCCAGGAATGGCACCCGGCTCGGCCCTCTCTGGGGCTCACCTCTGGCATCTCCTCCGTGATGATGTCCACGTGCTGGGCGGGTGCAATGTCCTCGTCGCTTTCTGTGTGGAGGGAGCTGTGGCGCCGGTGCTTGCTCCCCCGCTTCTCTTTCTTCTGCTTCTTCTTCTTCTTGTCCTTCTCCAGCTTCTGCTGGTGCCGGCGCTCCTCCTCCAGCTTCACATACTGGTCAGACACTGGCATGCCTGCAGGAGATTTTGGGGGGGTGGGGGGAAGAGAAGGAGCACATACTGGTCTCAGATCAACAAGGAACTTATTCTGACTTCCACCAAGTGGTGTGTCACAAACAGGGATGAGCACGAACTGGAAAAAATGTGGCTCTTGGCCAAACCGTGAACCGAACCAGGAAGTCTGTTCGAGAACCAACCCAGTTCATGGTTTGTGGCCTTGCAAACTCTGTTGAAAGGGACTGCAGTTCCTTTAACCAGGGTTTGCAGAAAGGTAAAAAAACCAGCTGAGACTGCTCCCTGCCACTCAGTTGTTTGGGGGCTTTCTTGTTCAGTCCCTTTAAACTTTAAAGG